CATGTCTAGCATTTACTAAGGCTTCCTTTGGAGAAGAGGCTCTGACCGGAGCATTTGACGAGATGGTACGGCACGATCCCCCTCCTTCCCACAGAACAGGGAATTTCATGTTTTGGTGAGAGCAGACCTGCAACTCCTGCTGCGGAGAACGATCCACACTTCACGGCCATTTATGCAAAAAAATCACAGGGCTCACGAGAAATTAGATCAGGAGTTCACAGGTTCGCAGTAAACACGCAGCGCTGCACAGCACAGTCCGACCACGGAAAGTTTCCCTAAATTAGGTCCCAGGGTAAGAGAGCCGCATGTGTGATCCCACCTCCCAAGCTGAGCATCCGTACGCCAGGTGAAGAGGACAACAGCCAAGTCAACCGGGAAGCAGCAGACAAATGTATTTCGTCTCCCGCCTTGTCCCGATGACTTTACGACAGGTATTGCTGCATCGGTGGCTTGGGTTACGGAAATCGGAGATCTTCGATAGCAGCTGGTAGCTTTCCAGGTCTGCACAAAGTCATTGAGCAGCAGATCAAAGCAGGAACACTAGTTCGAGCAAGGTTCGCAGACGGAAACATACCCGATGAATGTTAGAAACGCTAATCCAGAGAGGGGGATGTCACTTGTATCGAACCAGGGGTTGAAGACTTCTGGGCTTGTAACACGGTCTGCAGCAGCAGACACCCAGGTCATTCCTCACTTAGGTTTCCTAAGCCAGCGGTCTCCAAAGTGGGGTGTGAAGGCAATCCGTCGGGATGTGGGAAGGAAATATTTGAACTTCTGTTTCTTTTCATTTTATTTCTATTTTCTCATACAGAGATGGTATATTCTCAACAGCAAATGACTTCTTCACAATACATTGGAATGAGACAGGGAGCAACCGTGAAAATCTCTCGCACCACACGGAGATTTGCTGCTTATCTCGCGGCGCAGGGCTTAAAAGAGCTGTTGAACTTAAAGGCGTTTTATTTTACAAAAAGACAAGCGTTGCAAAACTGCCGTGAGCAGTTGCTGTCAGTAGTATGCTACCTAGCAGTTAGTGTCCAAAAAATAAACACACGTAAGGTGCCCCTTCAAGGTGAAGGTGCCTTTTGAACGACGAGTGAGAAAGTAACTGCTTTTTGAAAGAAACTCGTGCTGTGGAGAGAGCATTTGCTAAAAACCCCAAAATGCACCAAAAGTCCTTCTCTGTTCGCAAACAACAGGTCCAGCCTTCCCTAGTTGGCTCGCTCACCAGCAGTGTCAGGACGTTATCTTCCACAAGTCCAGGAACCTCCTGGACTGTTTCCCCTCCGCTGTATTGTATTTCCAGCAGACATCTGGTCAGTTGAAGTCCCCCACGAGAACAAGGGCCAGCGATCATGAGACTTCTCCCAGCTGCTTATAGCATATTTCATCTGTCTCTTCATCCCGGTTGAGTGGTCTTTAACAGACTCCCACCATGATATCTGCCTTGTTGGCCTTCCCCCTGATTCTTACGCAAAAACACTGGTGTCTTTCATCACCATCGTCAAGCTCTAGACAGTCAAAACAGTCCCAGCTGCTGGTGCTGGAACAACCCCGGTCACACAAACCTGCTCATTTCAGCGTGTCCCTGGGCAGATCGCTTCGTTAAACGTCAACCTGATCTAAGAGCGACTCCTCTAGTGAGCACACGAGCTGGGAAGCTCTCTGGGGCCAGCTCTGCCTCCCCTCCCGGCAAACCTCCGCAAGGCAAGAGACCCCCGCCCAGGACATCCCTCCATGCTCAGGATCTGCTTAATGTCACCCCATGCAAAGGTCCTTTGGAGCACATGGCATTAGCTCAGCACCGAGGGAGGCGTGGGTGCGCTCCGCAGCTCTGCGCGTGCCCAGCGTACAGGTTTTAGATATATAAAAATAAATACCAGTGTATTTACAGACCGCTCGGTACCAGTGCAACATCCATCTGTATCCTTGCAACGAATGGTACAACTGCCGTGTTGGGTCATTTACATCGAGTATCAACTCGTAAAATAAGCCAGCTAATGAAGTCTTCTCCAGACATCCATTAAGAAGCTATCATGCTAATTTTATGTAAAAATCCAGTTTTCTCATTGAATTAACATTACAGACCTGTAGCGGACTTTTACATCCGCTCCGGTTGTGGCAAGAGCACTCCAGGCACCCCCCTGGAGCAGTGCACCAGGAGAGCAAAGCGAGGTGAGGCTGAGCATGGCCTCCTGTCCCCTCTCCCCCGGGTGACAGGCCACCTCCCCTCCAGTTCAGCAGATCTGCACACACACCATAAAACCCACGGGACAGCCGCTTTGCAACAGGGTGATTTGTAAAGCGGCATTCACAAGCTACCAGTGCCCCTGGAAGATGAACGTGGGAAATCCCCTGTGCCTCAGTTTCCCCTTTGTAAAAGGAAGATAAAAATCAGTTCTTTATAACAAGGTTATACTTGTCGTTAACCTTGTATCTCCCTGGGGCACCTACAAATATTATCGTACCGTAAAGCAACGCCAACACAACGCCAACGCAAGGAAGCCAGACTGGTCTGCTGCTGCCACGTATCTTTGGCTCCAGCTGGCCAGCCCTGTGCTTACAGGGGATAAATCCGGGGTGCTGCAGCCAGTCCCGTCCCCCCTTGCAGAGGAGAGGGAGCTGAGCAAGCAAGGCAGGGGCTGCAGCACATCCAGGGCGGTGGGGACGGAGCAGGACAGGGCCACCTGCGGGGCCGACACAGTCCCCGGGGCGGCAGCACTCACCCAGGCGGAGTTGGACTGGTTGAGCTGGTTGAGCATGACGATAGAGGTGCAGCCGTAGTCATACACCAACCGCCAGAAGTCGGTGGTGGTGTTCTGCAGCGGGTGCAGGGTGACGATGAAGGCAGCGCTCTTGGTGTAGCTCTGCAGAGAGGGAAGATGAGCACCGTTAAGGACATGGAGGCGGCACTGAAGCCACTGCTGTCGCACCCTGAAAAACCAGTGCAACCAGTAGATGAATGCCACCAAAGCCACCTTCTCCATGGTTGAGCAGAGCTGGCCTCCCTGGCACAGCCGCGGTCCCTCCATGCCCTGGGGAGATGCTATAAAACAGGTCTAAGTGATCCCTGCCCTTAGTGGGGACAAAAGCACCCGCTTTCTGCTCTCTGCTCTCGTGGGGAAGGGTGTTTCACACAAATAACTAGGGAAAAGATGTCACCTTTAAGCCAAGCAGAAGCTGTGGCTGCCAGATGGCCCCAGCCCTCAGCTCTGCACCCTGGTCCTGAGTGAAAGCATCACCCCCCCAGTGCCCCAACACCTCCAGGCACCAAGAGCAGCAAAGAGACAATGGGATCAATGCAAGGGAGGAAAGAAAACCCGAACGAAAGACCTCTAGCGACTGCAAGAAGGAAGGGGGAAAAAAAATTACTGTACTTCTCATTCGTGCTTTGAATGAGATTTGTCCCCTTGGTCATCCCGATGCCGGCTTGCCGAGGGATGGGGAGCCCATGGCCGGGCTCAGCACTGCATCAATCAGACTTTTAAATTAACACACTTTAGCTCAAGCCTCTTCAGATACAGGAACAGAGCAGAAAACGCTCTGTGCCCGTGAATTAGCACAGCTCTCTGCTAACAGAGAGTCCTCTGGCTGCTGCAAAACCTCCTCAATTAACTCATGGAAATGCCCTTATCAAATCTTTCCTCCTGCCCTGTCGTGGGGCGACAGCGAGACCCCCGCTTTCCACCCTCAAGAAGGGCGATGAGAGCAGCGGGGCGAGGGGGGTTTCATCAAGCGTTGACCAGGCTTGCCTTGGCTCCCGCAATCCTTTGGCACCGGTGTCAATGACAGGAGCCGGTGCGGAGCAGAGCGCAGCTCCGCCAGACTGCTACCGGCACCGGCACCGCCGCAGAGCTCAGGTGACGGGCAGCACTGACCAATCATCCTGACAGACGGACGCACTGAGCAAACTGCTTTGGCACTTAAAGAAAATGAGCTTTTTTTTTTCCCCCCAAAGAGGGAAATGGGTTTTATCCCTTCAGCGAGAATTTCATCCAAAGGGCTTTTTCTGTCTGTAAAGAAATTTCTATTCTCTGACCCTGTAGCAGAGATTAAGGGAGGCTCAGTGGTGTACAAAAATAAAATGCAAACACCAGGAAAGCTGAAAACAAAGCTCCCATCCCACGGTACCCAAAGCCCGCAGCCCCGGGGTGCGGCTCCCCAGCCACCAGCAGCCACCTCCGCTTTACAAAACTGCTTTTTGCTGTGAAAGCAGGTAACAGGGAAACGAGATCTGCACAAAGATAAATCACCACCCATGAGGTAAAAAAACCAGGGCTCAGCCTGGTGCCAGTGCTCAGCTGCGACCAGGAGGGTTTGGGGAAGGTGCCCGGGGTGCGGCAGGGCTCAGCGCTGCCCGTGCAAAGCACCCCGACTTGTTTCAGGCAGAGAAAAGTGGTTTTGGTGATAAATGAACCATCGTTCGACGCAGGCTTAGAGCCTGCAGCATCCTGTCTGCTCTGCTTTGCAGTCATCAGCAGGTAGGAAATAGCTTTGCCATCACGGGTGTCCTTTCTGACTGCACGGGGGGGATGCACGGTGGCTTTGGGAGCAGTTCAGAGCCCCCTGAATTGCCCCGGGAGGATGGGCAGGAGGATGCACGGCAGGGTGCTGGCAGCACACGGAGGGCTCGGTGCTACCAACCCCTCCCAGAGCTTCCTCTCCCTCCTGCGCTCCATTTTGCGATGAAATAAATGAAGCTCCTTCGCGTGCGGCTTGCGAGAGCAGGCGAAAAGCTCTTTCAAGACCAGCAAGATGCTGCTACACAAAAGAAGAGTTGAAGGATCCCGCTACGCCGGTCCCAGCCCTGCCAACGGCTGCCACGTCCCTTCGTGCCCTTGCGCGAAACGAGGCCGTAAATTCAAATCAAGCGAGGTTTTGCCGTGAAAAGCTGCCCGAAACAACCCAAACCGGCCCCTTCCCTCCCCGCAGCACGCTCACATCAGTTAAGGCCGCGTTGATGTAGTTGTTGCTGTCTCCGTCCACGGAGATGAGGAAGGGAAGGCATCGGTCGGGCGGCAGGACGTCCATGCTGCGGTTCCTCTCCCGGTTGCGGGGCAGGAGGGCGATGCTGCATTCCTCCACGTCCAGGTGGGGAGTCACCGAGTTGAGGGTCTGCGAGTACACGTGTTCCCCTTAGCTCCCTTCCTGCCTGCACCGGGGCCAAAACCCCCGCCTGCTGCTCGTCAGAGCCTGCTGGTCCCAGCGGTGGTGGGCAGCAGGAGGGTGAGGAGCAAGGGGGTGTTGCAGGGGGGATGCAGGGGTTTTGGGGCCGCTCACCTGGAACTCCTCCCGTAGCTGCGAGGAGTTGCTCTGCGGCTCTATCCTCACCATCTCCTTGTAGGTGGGCTTGAACTCGCTGGCGGGGATGCTGGTCTCCCCGCACAGGCAGGCTTCCAGGATGGCGTCATGAATGAAGATGTACTGCTCCTTTCAGGGAAAGGAAAGGGAAGAAGGGCTGAGCCTCCGCGACCTGCTGGTGACAGCAGCCCCACGTGTCCCCGACACCCGCTCACCTCCGTCTGTATCATGTTGATCCTCCGCGAGCACAGGGTCTTCACGCAGTTGTAGATGTCCACGACGCCCTCGCACTCGGCCATGTCCAACATAACGTCCAGGACGATGTAGCAGCCAGTTCTCCCCGTGCCAGCGCTAGGGATGGAGGAGGAAAACACAGCAAACACATTCCCAGTCTGCACGGCACCCACCCACAGCCCAAACTGCCAGAGGGCACGGAGCAAGGTCTGTGTGGGCAAGGGCTCAACATACAGCCCCTGCCCAGGGATGCGGGGGCAGCCGGGGTCCAGGCAGGGCTGCCAGGACCTCGCACACCTCCATAACCACAGCCCAGTCTTGCCTTAAACCACCCACCCCACCACCCGCCCAACACATGGCTACAGCAGCCCAGGGGCTGCAAGGTGGTCAGGCAGCGGGTGGGAGGGTGGGCACCCACGTATAAGGTTCGTTTTTGCTTTAAGACATGAAAACACAGGCTTTTTTGCAACAAAACCAGCAGCTAAACCATCTGAGTGCCAACAGTCCTCTGGGACCCCATCCCAAAAGAGCTGACGGAGGCAGCGGGAGAGAAGGATGCTCAGCACCAAGCCCCGAGAGCGCAGGGAAGTATCCCCAGGGCAGAGCGGAGCTCACGAGCTGACGGAGGCAGCGGGAGAGAAGGATGCTCAGCCCCGAGCCCCGAGAGCGCAGGGAGGTACCCCCAGTGCAGAGGGGATCTGAATTCCCCCGGGGGGGACCCTCGGGTTAAGGCTGAGCCCAGCAGGATGCCTGGAGCCAGATGACCCAGCAGCGGCGATATCCCAAATCCTGGCACGCTTGTACTCGCAGCGAAAGACCTCCTGATGCAGCGACCACCCCCGCAACACGTCGGGAACAGAACCGCTCCCCCCGCTCCTTCCCTACAAAGTCTTTTCCACTGAAATACTAATTTCTGGGGCTGATGAATCACTCGCCATGATTATCAGTGATTACAGGCTACGGGCACTAATCACACTCGCTGCTGCTGGTGAATGAATACTGATGAGGCAATTGACAGGGAGAAATCAAATTAAAAAAATCCCTCCCGCTCGTCAGCTCCTCCTTGTTTGCCCAGCGGAGGAAGAGCCATTAACCCATCGTGTGGGGACGCCTGCTCAGGGGA